CCTATCTTGCGGTGATGGTGGAGAAGAGGCTCGATGATATGACAGAATAGGTGATGGCTGTCGTTGTGGAGGTGTATAGCCGGGTCGATCAGATGATGGCTCTGGGTGAGGTGATAGCTCTGGGCGAGGTGATGGCTCCCGAAGTGGAGGCTGCTCATCAACCGTTCCATCAAAAAAACGCTTACTAGCTTGCCACCATCAGTGGCAAGCTCAGCTTCCGTGGGTGTCAGCCTCTGTAGAGGAGTGTTGGCCTCCTAACAATATAAAAGCTCAAACAAAGTTAAACGTGTACTATTAATAACTTGTTTATAAACATATGGTAGTATTTATGTTAACTTACATTATTTATTGTCGTATACCGTAGTAAATCTTCCCATTGCAAGGTCCGTTTCCTCTTCCAGGAAATAGCCCTGGGAATATCATTTGAAGTGTTTATTGCATATGTCTTCATGGCGGGAAAGGCCTCAAATATCCAAATCTACAAACAATATAATAACATTAGTAATTGTTAAATAATTACTTATAATTTTGGAAACATCATATAAAATTCTTACCTTAAAGGCCCAAATAAAGCCTGTCAAAGTGTATTTGGAACCATCGCCATGCAAACTTTTTCGATCATCCAAGGCAGACGATAACTTATTCCATGTAGCTTTCCATAAATACGAGCCCCACGGAAACAGGTTCCACGCATTTAGGTCTTCTACCAATTTGATTAGATCATTTGGAATAGGTTGTATGGCCTCTCTGCCTAAAAAGCCGGCATGCAAAAGAATTAGAAGGCATACTCGGACAACGTCGACGTCATCCATCCGAGTAAAACCATCTTTATTATTCAAAAATCTTGTCAGGTCTTCTACGTGTAGACTCGGCCTCTCCAGCTCAGGAAAAACCCGGGATAGCCATGATGGGCGAGTAATGTGTCTAGTGTACCGACCTACATCATCGTGTCCGAAGCGTAGACCGGTGATTAAGCAAAACTCCTCCCGCCCAAAACACGTATACGCCGGTGGAAAATCAAACCATATCTCTTCATCACGACGTTGTATAGTCTCTGGTAGATCGCTAGTCATGGTTTGAAGAAACATGTGTGTCAACATTGCATCTCCACCGGGATGTTGTACTTTCAGCCATGGCCCAAAGCATGTATCCTCAAACATTTTTCTTTGTGCATGTGAAAGCTTCGACGCAATTGTTTTGGCCAGGCTGACTTTATTTCTCAAGGTCAATTGAGCCGAATAAAAGTTCTACAAAAACAATAAACATACTAAATTAGATATACCAAAAACTACACTGTGAAGATATACCAAAAACAATCATAAACATAAAGAGTAGTAGTTTATTCTTCAAACTTAAATTTGCAACACTGTGAATTTCGTATTTGTCTTTGTTTTTTGGTTGAAGTAATGCAATTCATTCAAGTTTCAATTTGCAGAAGAAGAATAGTTTCTAAAAATGAAAATCGCAACACGAAAATGACTATCGCAACGCGAATTCGACTATCGCAACGAGAGAATCGCAACGCGAAACTAAAATCGCGTTGCGATTCTCGGTTGATTTAATAAGCAATCTAAGTGAAATGATTAATCTATTATTGAAATTACCAGTAAACTTATCATCAATTTCAATATGAAAAACCTAATAATAATGCAAAAATTTCTAAAAGAAAATAATTAAAAAAATTAACCCTCGTTGGTTGATTTGGTTGATTTTCCATTTCTGATTGTGAGGGTGGCTCTGAGAGATGGAGATAGACGGATTTCGCCGGAGATGGGGACGGATTTCGTCGGAGATGGGTGAGAGAGTGAGAGATGGAGATGGGACTGAGTTGTGATTTTAGGTTTTAGGTTATGAGTTGCGATTACGGGATATACTGTGGACAGTTCAGTGTTCCAGTATATTAATATTCGTAGGGACTGAGAAAGCCTTAATCATGAATAGAAGATTTTCAATTTGGTTAATAAGGGTCTTTTAGTAGGGACTGAGAAAGCCTTAATCATGAATAGAAGATTTTAACTATAATTTTAGATTTAATATACTATTTTCATTAAATTCACCCGAACATACATTTCAATAACCTTTGTCCCCCCCCCCCAATAGACACAGGTTAACATTTTACATGCCTCTGAACTTCCAATTCTTTTTCTCCGTTGCGAGTTTAGAATCATAGCGGGTTGAGCAGCCAACTCAATCAAACCTCCAATTCCATTTGTCAAAGATCTTGAACTCGGTGCAAACCAAGTTGATTTTATTTACCCCCCCCCCCCCTAGCAAAACAGGAATAACTTTTGAACATGGACTACTGTGTTTGCACCTTGTGGGGGAATAATCATCAAAGTTTTAAAAGATTTCAACCAACTTTGGCTTACAGCATTTGATTTCGCAATCAAATTGTTTTTATCGGCCTGGTTGCTGAAAGGAAAATATATGCTCACGTTTACTTCTATTGAGAAATGCATTGCTGAAACAAAGAGGAAATGGAATCCATGAAATCTCAAAAAACAAAGCTCGGTATGTGATTATCTAAAAACTACAGAAAACCATATGCTATAATTTTCAAACAACAAAACTAGTAAGAACGTGGTCTAGCTACATGTTACATATGAACAGAGGAAAGATGACAAAAAATGAATACAATAGTGTGTAACAAACTTATAACCTAGAACAAGAACGTCTCAACTCGTGTCAAGCTTGCCTGTTTGTTCAATCAAAGATGACTAGACATGAGTGAATTAGAGCTGAAACAAAAAGTATTGGAGACGAAACAAAAAAAGGCCTACTGATGGTCAGGATGAAACCGTCTTAATAATCAGACATAGAACATCTTCAATACATTGTTTGACTGTTTTTGCGGGAAGTTACGAATGCAAATGCACCAGCCCAATCTTGTCTAGTTGGTTCAGCCACTTGGTCATCCCCAAAGAAGGGAGTCCAGAAGTCTTCAGAGGCATTCGTCAACAACCAATCTACTTTCTGCGGTATGTTAATGAAATCAAAGTTCAAAGGCTTCAACTTTTTATCAGGTTTCTTCTGTTTTTTGCCCCGAGTTCCCTGTACCCTGCAAAACAAAATTCAAGAATACACCAACAGCCAGTGGATTAAGAACTAAGAAGTCAAGAATTGGGTAAATGTTCAGCATCTTCAAACAACAAGTTTTTTATTTCAGTCTTACAACATCTTCACTGCCAGAAGTCTCTGTTCCTTTCTTCTTTTAGGTGGGGGGCGTTCCAGTTTCTAGATAGTACAGAACTTCTTTCTTCGATCTGAATTTTCGACCCGTGGATGGATCAACATAATACTGCACAAGAAATGCGATCATGTATGTTATATTATCATCACATTGTCAATTATCTCACTATAGAAAATACAACAACAGGTTACCAATTACATTCTAACAACCAACGTAAACAAGAAATGTATTACAGATATGTCAAAATGAACTAATCTCAACCCAAAAATCAATATAAATGAGATGAAAATTTCTTATTTCCATAGTTTTCTAAACCAACTGAACCATATTTGCTACATTCATTCACCAAATATATGCAATGCATCTTGTTTCAGTGATAGAACAAAAGACAAAATCTATTATATGAGTGTTTATGCAACTTTTAGCCTTTCAATGTGCAGGTTAAATTTTAGTCCATGGCTACCTAAATTAGAGTTCAAAAGATCCATAATCATAAGGATCATTGTTTTTCTGATACTAAGCAGATTTATATAAGCAGGAAATGGATTGCATTTTACAACTAATATATCATTTAGTTTTCCAAGGCTTGAGAATAGAAGCAATGAACAACAAAGTTGAGTTTCTTTTTAAATCAAATTTGTCAAACCTAAGAACACACTGATTTTCTCTACTCGTGTATAGATTTGATGGTTAAGACTGACACTTCAGTCTTCAGGCTGCAAAATATGGATATAGCTTAATCCACCAAATGAGAACTACATATGTGATGTACACGTAACTTGTTACCAAATAATCATCGACTCACAAAGAGGAAACTCGATAAAATTATAATCAATGCACTAAGATTAAACTTGTGAGCAAAAGAAATCATGTTAGAACTGAGATCTAACCTTATCAACCAGTCCAGCTGTTGCACCGGAGCTCCGAACCCTATCTTCGATCAACCATCCAGCTGGCAACCAAGTCTCCGGAGGCACCACGCGCTGCTTCCCTTAGACTCCGCCGGGGACGGCGAGATATCCGACCTTGTACCGGCGTCTCGAACTGAGCGCCATTCGGAGTCGAACCATTTGGAGCCTCTGATGACTCAGCCGATTGGATTTGGCCGCTGGCGTCGATGAAAGCTCCGGGTTTGAGGAGCGGATCGGATGGTAAATCGGTTGTAGAGGTTGAACCGGGTTTGACATTGAGAAGAGGAAGGAGCAGGAAGTACTTTTCGACCTTTGAAAAAAAAAACAGCGAAGAATAACAAAACGAGACGGCACGAGATGGATTTGATTTAGGATACGACGGCGTGAGATCAGTGCCGTTAGTGTCAGTCATTAAGCTTATCGCAGATTTTATTTGTTTTTTAAAAAATTTTAATATTTAAATTTTGTTGTCTATTAATTGAGTTTTAAGAAAAATGGTTTACCTCTAAAACTCAATTTCTAATATTAAGTTACAATTAATTCATATCTGAAAAATAAATTTTGATTAACTTATCCCTAAGTTTAACAACGTATCTTAAACATTAATATCATTACTATAAAAAAATAAAAAAGAATACACACAAATTCTGTATGTACACGTCTGACTAATTCAATTTCAAAGGCACCATATGTCCTACAACCATGAAATCTTGTTTATTCATACATGAACACAGATTTCAGCAAGAACCCATGTTTTATTTGGCCAAATTTCTTGTGTCAAAACAAATAACTTCATCTAAAGCTCATCAAAGACTATTTTCTAGGTCAAGTGTCACGACTTCTGATTCGACATGAAGGTTCATCCATGCATTTTTGTCCATATCTCGGGCTACAATGTCATCGAATGACTGGTCTTGTTCTGGTTGGGATACCAGGTTTTTGCAAACTTCGGTCCACACTTCTTCAACAACATTGTTTCTCTTAAGCTTCAAGCTAATGCCGCAGTTGAAAGAGAAGTGCTCGGGGAAATACCACAGATGATTTTTCATTGATCTCAAATAATGACTCGTTAACGAGATCGAAAACCAGTTGGTGATTACAGTTGCTTCCAACTTCATCAATGGTGGATTCCAGTTCAGGGTGCAATAGGATCTCTAATTCCATGAACATTGAAGGGTCCAATGGTTGGTCCGGTGAGAACCATGTTTGGCTCCCCTCATCTTCTGTGAAACCTGAGAGCTCGAAAATGTCTTTGACGTAATTGTACCAAGGATCAGCCTCCCCAAATAGGATCCGACTGCTGTCTCCCATGGTTTCGTAACCTGAGAACTCTGTTTCACCGTCGGGAAAGTTCGAGTGCTTCAACCCTAAACCTCGTAAAAGTTTAGCCATCAAGAACAGATGAAAAAACTTTATTAATTGTTCATCGGTTCAATCTTAATCGCATTAACGTGCAAGTTCAAGTTGCAAGACATATTTACCTTTGACATTGAAAGGTTCGCTGTGCTGGTTATATCACTTAAATCTGAAGTTCGTTGCATAAGCTCAACTGCTTTTTCATTGAACTCACATGGCCTAGCAACTTGTTCGCCACTTTTATCCACTGATAAATCGGTTGAACCACGGTTCTTCGATCCTTCTCTTGTGTTTTCCTGCAATTCAGACTCTATAAAAGCTACTGCTAGTTCAACTTTTTCTGTTTCTTCACAGAAACTAGTTGGTTTTGGCTCATTATGCGTATCGGTTTCCTTGTCTGCATCATTATTTTGGATGTTCCTGTTTAGGATCTCTGAAGAAAGAGCGTGGCAAGACACCTCATAGAAGAGAGCAAAAGGATTGAAGATCAAATAGGGATGAAATCCTTCTGAAAAACTTGGGAGCATTATTCCCTCTTGATGGAACTTTATCTTCTTCCTCAACTTTAAGCTCCTTGAGTGATTCAAATTGACTTCTTTGCTCCCACTATGCTGAAACAATTGAGTGTATCTATCTAGGGACTCATTTATAGACTTTGTTTATCCTTTTCAATCTACCATTGCCGATGTCATGATCATCAGCATTGTTTGGCAGACAACTATTGGAAGTCTTTCCGAGCATTCCGACGTGTCTCTGTCATTTGCGGACAATGTATCTCTTGAGGAAACCTGGAGGGAGAGCTCATTGGCCCTTGTATGGTTAATAGTCTTTCTTTCCTGGAGGGCCTGCTTTACTCTGCTTAATATCCTTGAGACGATTCATAACTAAATGGTTCCACCTTGGGAATCAGATCCCTGAGATGAAGAGTTTGCTTCTTTATGATGCTCTGAAAACAATTGTTGGTTCTCGTTACGGCCATTGACTTGGATAATTGAGCATCCGGAACAGATTTTTCTCCCCTTCGGAATGACCATACTTCCTTCTGCTGTGTCAAGTGTAGTAGACCTAAGATACCCGGTGCGAGGCGAATGAGGCATCGGAAATGAGCCTGATTTTGTTATTTTACTGCCTTGGAAGTTCGGCTTCCAGGAAAATGTTGTGAAATACCACCTCAGGATCCTGGAGAATGTGTAGGAATAAATCTTTGTTAACCTTGAATATCTCCAAAACATCCACAGCCTCGACCTGATTGTATGAAAACATGTTCAAATTGTTGGTCCCATTATTCTTTCATGAATATCAGGCTTTTTACTCTTTGTTGAGCTCATGTTGGAGGTGTCACCTCGCTTGCGGACAAGGAATGATCGGATTCATCCAACCTAGACCGAAACCTGAAGGTTCCAGATGATGAGTTGAATCAGTTTGCTGCACTTTGATCTTGCCGAATGCCCTAAAACCCAATGTTATCGCTCTCTTCCTTACCCTCTCTTTACTTGTTAAACCTTTTGTGGGCACTTTGCCGGACCTTTTGTTAGTTGATCCTTTTTCCTTGTTTGCTGTTGAACCCGTTAAATCAGGCCAATCATTTGGTATTTTGAAGATCACCATATCCAATATTTATACGTGGAAATCAATGAATTTAGTGTCAGCTTACTTGGATTTGTTCAGCCTCTGCATTAATAATCTTTGATATTCAACATGTTCACGTTCCATGGAAATAGTTTGTGGATTTGAACAGCTGCAATAAGAAAGAAAGACAAAACTGGTGCTTTCACCATGCATTTAATCAAAATATAGAATTCCTAAAATATTGGTAGTATGAAATATTTTATGATGAAATTGAGAGTTCCTTACATCTGGCACGTCTTCCTCTGTTGAACTTCCTGTGCGGGAGCATCTTTTTGACATTATACCAATGATGGTTGTCGAGTACATTAAATAAGCCCCCATGCAACCTGGATGATAATTCTCGAATTCAGCATCATCGGACTGTTCATGAAATTCCCTTCCCATGTGAACACACGACAACTACAAATTGATTCCTTAAAACTCTGATTTTTCCACTAGAACAATGCTTGATTTCAACATATATGCCAACTCTCCTGTAAAATCTGAAAAACTCACGGGGGAAAAAAGGAATTAAACTTCTGATGAAAAAAAATGTCTTGACTGTTTAATCTGCTGATTAATCAGCAGAGAGGACTCATATTGTTTGAAAAGTTTATGAAAATTTGGGATTTTTTTTTGAGATAGTTATCATTATTTGCCTGATATTTATTGCTGTTTTGGGATTCTTTGACAAAGAGAGGGTCAGCTTCATTAGAGGAAGTTCAAGGTCGGCTTAAAACCAGAAAGTTTACGTTGGAGCATCAGAAAAATTTTACAGCAAAGAAAAACAGCGGCCTTCAATGGATTTTGAAACATTAAACAAAATTAATTATGCATCAAATAACAGAGAGGGAAAGAGATGAAAAGAGTAACCGAGGGAAGAGGGGGAAAAAACATTAGAGCCGTAAAAAGCTTACCTCAAACACAGAGAACTCAAGATTTTCTTGAAGCACGAGAGAGCTCAAAGCTCTGAAGCAAAGCTAGAAAGTGAAACAGAAAAGAAAAAAAACCCAAATAGATATTAAAAAATCTAATGCAAAAATAGTTTTTCTATAGAAATGAAGGCAGAAAATAGGGTTTCTTTAATCTCCAGAAAAAGCAAGGGAAAGAAGACGAAGAAGGTTGTTAGTCGCAGTACAAACTAAGAAGACAAAAAGGAGGAAAATAGTGTTTAGAATCCAAAGTTGGTTAAATGAAGGTTCATTCTACCCGACAAGACTGGCCCAGTTATGGTTTTAGGGAAGGACAAGTCATCGGCAAACAGAAGAGGTTACGTCTACGAGGTAAGCAATGGGGCTAACATCAGCTGACCAAACCATATTAATGAATATTAAAACCAAGATGTTGAATTCCCACTTTCTGCAGGTTACCAATCCTACAAAAAGCAGCGTATTTCACCAACTATAGTAGGAAGAAGAAAGGGACCGAGATGGTAGGTTAACTGTTTTGGTGGTTGATTAAGGTTATATGTCTAGAACGATGCTTTCAATGCAGCACACATAAAGTTAGGTGGACGATTAATAAGAGAATTAAATCAAGAACGCGCTGAACTTATACGTAATAAATTGGATAATCAATTGTTTACCAGTTGTAAGCTGGTAAAGAATGATCCGGATGAAGAGTAAATCCCTCTTGTTCTCAAAAGCAAGCAATATTCATTTTTTTAATATGTTTAAAAGAAAAAAAATAAGGTGGTGTGATACCGAACAACAGTTTTGTTTTTGTGAAGATACCAAGAAAAAAAATGTGGTGTAATTATCAATGTATGACTGGTTCAAAGCTTTTTGATATTCATCAGATTCAGTGCCGGTCCAATAAATTTTAATACCCTGAGCGAGATAATAATTTTATGCCCCTATACTTGTACCGTATAATAAACAAATGTAATTTCTGTAGGTTATTCCCAGAACATGCTTTATGCTTAAAAATTCATACATTTTCTATGAAGTTTGAAATCCATCCAAATTATATAGTAGTATATATTATGGGAAATGTCCATTGAAACTCGACCAACATGATCATTGCCTCTGACTTTGCAGCCACTGTCTGTCCTGTTTGTGTTTGTCTTACAAACATATCCATTTCCACTACTCTCCCCAGGTTAAGAATGTTCGATCAAGGCAGCTTACATCATATTAGCAATGGCATGATACAAATACCAACAGGACTGGCAGATTGCCAACTAAATATCACTTTGTTCCACAATAACAGACTGCCAACTAACACTTCGTTTGGGCCCCAAACAATGACGGGAAGTTATGTTGCATGAACAAGGGAAAACATTGAAAGCAAACTGCAAGAAAAGGATCTGAACAAGCAAAGATTACAAAGGGAGTGCAGGAAGTCGAGACGTCAACATATCATAAACCATGAATGCAGAAAGTGACAAGGAAGACATCTTACTGGAATTGAAACAAGACGCATTGCAAAAGAGATAGTAAAGAAACCATTGCATTTAGCTGGGATCATACAATATCTCATGTAGGAAACCGACAAGTTTCGAAATCTACAGTCAGATTATTACTTCAATAAACAAACTGAAAATATCATGAGCAAGAAATAATAGCCTAGAGAATATAAACCAATGCCACTTATAGTTCTTCAGATACTTATGTTTACCTCCAAGTAATCATCCAGCTTTTGAACCAGATTCTGTGCGAGCTTTTGATTCTGATTTAGAATCTCCTCTCGTATTAGTTTGTTTCCGCGCTTCTTGCATCACCCGAACAAAAATCCACACCATCATGGGTGGTGGTGGTGGTGGTTTTGATGGTTGTGATGATGAATACTCTTACCTTTTAACTACTTCCGCATGTCGTATGCATCCTCCCCATCATATTATCACCTCCACATCATGTATCTTATAACCCAACGTCTGAGCATACATATTAAATGTTGCCCTGTTACTCTTTCTCACATGGAGCGAGACATACTCTGCTCCGAACACCTGCATCACTTCGCATATTAGTATTGAAGAAAACAAATGCCTTTTCTTCCTTGCCGATTGATTTTTTGCAGTTAAACTGTTCAAGAATTGCTAAATATAGAATCAATAAAAGTAAAAGTAACTCTAACATAAGCATTCTATAAAAGTAAACTATTCAGTATTTCGTAAAGCAAAGTTGGAATTTCAAGTTCAACTTCTCTTAAAATATTTTTTTCCATTCGAATCCAAAATGTAATCAAGCAAAAACTAATACTAACTAATTTAAAAGTACTACAGTCCATATATGAGCAGATAAATGACTAAAAAGGAAAATGAAAAGAAAAATAAATAATGGAAAGACACGTTCCATGGCGGTTTGGGCAGCGATCATGAGCTTAGTGGCAAGGTCAAGCTTGCGATAGGTACGGAGGACGGCGAAAGAGGTGTTGTGGTTGTGGCACTCGTTGCCCTTACATGCTGGGAATAACCTACAGAAAGGAGGTGAGGATTACAAAGGCCGCCCATTCACTGCAGTTGTCATCAATGGCCGAGTGCGTATCAATTCTACTGATGCCCCTACATGTTTCCCTGGGCCGTCATCCATGTGGCACATGTATTGGCCGGCCCTGATCAGATTATATAGGCATTAACAGAAAAAGAAGATATTTTTAAAGTTATAGGAGATGCATATATAAATCGTGTGGCTGCGAAAAACAAAAATCTGACGTTAAAAAAAGATGATGTTGAATGTTGGTGTAGAGCATTTCTAAAGGTTTGGTGTAAAGTTGACGTCGTCTCTTCAGTCTAAGTTTTGAGATAGTTTCAGGGGCAGGACTGGACTGATTCAATCAAAGGGTTTAAATTCTGAATTGAGGAAAGGAGTTTATTACGGGGTTGTCCACCTTTTTGGTGTAATTCTGTGGGTGGACCCTGATATTTGTCCCTCTACATCACAATTTATGTTTTTAATCAGACCAACAGACTGGGGGAACTTATATGAAGATATGGGTTTTTTTGGGTCATGACAGTGAAAGCGGCACTTCATTGGGTTCCTTGAGGCCCGTATCTTGTGGCCCCTTCAAGTTAAAGCCTGTTTGCAGACCAAAATAAAAGGGACGACTCAGTATTCGTATTATTTGTTATAACCCTTTTTTTTTGGCGAATTCATATTATCATTTTTTGTAATGGTAGGTTGTGTTTAAATTATTTTTCTACTTTCTCTAGTTATGGAGGACTGATATTCAGACAATCAAATCTTCTGTCATACGCTTGTAATTATTATCCACCAAGGCAAAAGTTAT